GTCAGAGCGCGTGAGTCATAGATGAAACGTCTTGTGCTCACTTGCCCAATTCTAGTTCAGAGAAGAGTAGATAGTAGGCAAGTGTACGCTGATGGTAGTGCACACCGGTCTATTTAGTTAGTCGATTTAATAAGTTGGAAACACTGATGCATGGTAAAAGTGCTTGAAGTTTTGTTCACTTTTATCCATCTCGCCGGCGATAAAATAATTTTTATGGGAGTTGGCAGACATATCCCTTCGTAAGAACATGAACAGTTCGCTTACAGAAGTTTCTTCTCTGATATTATATTCTCGATAGTTTTGTGTGCTGACAGCCCAGAACCGTGTTCCGAGTAAAAGTGACTCAGACGGTCTCTTCTTTTTATATAGTGGTAGTAATAGTGATCAGTTTTATTCGGACAGACAGTAATTACTTGTAGTAAATCTAGTATTTACAGAACTGGCGCATCTGTACAACTGTGTTTGTTAATGCAGCTGATAGTTTCTGTTTGTGTAAACTTACACACATAGCCTTCTGCCAATGCCTCTTGTGAGGCGTCGTACAAGCTTGGTCTATTTTTTATTTTAAGTTGTTGTTTATTTATATAACTGGATGAGTTTTGTCTAATCAAAAATAAATGAATTAAGCACAAAGGACAAAGATTGCATAGAGGCGAAAAACGAAATGTAAGATAGCAATTCAGCCATTTGCCGTCGCCATCAGTGCACTAATATTGAAGTAATTTTCTATTTTGGTTTTGCTGTTAATGATTTTGCGTACGGTGTCAACAATTGATTTAAACCAAAGTCGGACCACTTGTTTTGTGTTTCGTCAACAATTTCTGACAATAATGTTAAATCACCTTCAAAATCATCTTGTGAATTTAAAAGACTATGATTATTACTATTTTGTGCGTGTCCACCTGATGTATGCGCACCACCACCTGTTGCTTGATTTATGCCCGTATGACCAGTCGTACCACTTGTTGTACCTGCACCACTAGTGCCTGATGTTGCCGATGAACTAGCGCCAATACCGGAACCACTGTTAGCTGCAGCAGCTGTTGCTAATAAATGATGAGAATCTTGATTATCGTCTGGATTACCTAAATGCGGTAAATCGTCGAGTATCCAATCACGATCGATGAGTGCTAATTTTCGACCATCAGGTATATATAAACCATCCATAATAACGAATTTAAACTAGATTTGAACATAAAGAAAAAAAAAGAATATATCTAAAAACGAAAAGGTAAGAGAAATTGCTATAAAACAGATGAGTTAACTAAACAATTCTATCTGTTTTCTGTCTGAGTTAATTATCGAACGATTTGGTCAATATCCTGATAAAATTGTACTCTGGTCGGTATTGTTATGTAACGTTATCCTTAAAAGATTCACCCACAAGTATTATAGTTCATAATCCACGATATGACATCTTTATCGTAGAGTATAAAGGTAACAAGGTTAGGTGTCAATTTCGATAAAACTTCAATATTATCGATGTCAGTATAGTAAAATACGGGTTTTCATCGTCATTCTAAAGATGAAAAGGTTGAAAATATCACTTTCTAATTTAGTAATATATGATCCTCGTCTATTAGAATAATACTTAGATATTCTAGTTCAATTGGATTTGTACATAATTGATATGTATCATGAATGAAACAATAATTCGTTGTTAAACGTTCGACATTTCGTTTTAGGTTATTTAATGTTTTAATCCGTGAAGTTCCGAATTTTCGACTAAATCAAATTTGATGAGACAAGGTATAAACTATATAAGAACGCATTTATAGCAGCTCTCTTTCATTACTAATGCATATGCATTTGATAATAAAACAAAACAATACTTTATTCAAAGACCGTCAATAAAGTATAGTTAGTTATACACACTTCTACGAATTGATTAGATTCACATTAGGCAAAAAACAAGCAACAATAAATTACTAAGATTATGTATGACAAAAGTTCTTGAAGATTGTCCAAAAATTTCGAAATTCAATGATAAGCGTACTTACCCACTGGGATTCAAAGGGTTAAATAAAGTAAGACCATCAAACCGTCATATTTCTGTTAACCATGATGGTATATCATTCAATGAACATGAGATATTTCAATTTTATGTTTATTATGTTGCGAAGCTATACGAACATCATTTGTAGTAATCAAGTAATGAACGAGGGTGACCGAATTGATCAAAATGAAACAAGAGATAAATCGTATATCACTCACATCAAGACATTCGTATAATTTCACAAATTAGTTATTAGTCAAGCTTTTTTAAATTTTATACTGAACTAAATCAAAAGTCATTGTTTCAGATGTTTTTCACTTTCTATCATCTGGTTGACGTATTTACTCTTCAAATTTGATTGCTATTTCTTTGAATCGAAGATAAAAATATCAACTATTCAGTAATAAACAAATCATGATGTTCTGTAGTACACGTCATAAAAACAAGTTAATATATTTAATGACTATCGTCATAAAAAATTCGCAGTTCAAAACTAAGACTGGTATTAGCATTAGACAACCACCGATAACGTTTGTAACTAATGATCAACAAGTTAAACGTAGACAAATAAAAATTGTTATATTCAGTAGATCTTCACTTGATTCAATAAAAAAAAAATTAATAAATAATTATTTTTTTTTTTTTTCGTTTTAAAAACCCAATCGTTTGTTTTTTTATAAAATGCTAAAAAAAATAAATAAAACAAAAAAGCCCTCACTTTTTTTGGTTTTCTTTAAAAAAAAAAAAAAAAAAAAAAAAAATCCACCATCTACCAACAAGAGGAGCAGCTAACTATAAAGCAAGAAGACAAAAGATAATTAATTAAAAAGAAGATATAAAAAGACAATAAGGATGCGAGATTAAAAATCATAATGTTTTTGACTAGTATTGAAGTTAATAATACCTGCAAAGGGCAACTAATTCTAGTTAGATAAAAAAAAAGAAGGCAAAATAATAGAAGAACTGTATTAACTATAATGAATATCATAAATGAGATTCATACTAAAAATCAAGCAAGATGTTTATAAATTACATTAGAAAAAAAAAGAGAAAACGCAACTATTTAGATCTTATAACACAAGTTTGATTGTGAAAGAAAATAGAAAAAAAAATTATAGCTATTAAAAGAACAACATATTTCGAAGTTTTAATAACATCCTGAAAAGGTTAATAATGTACGTTACAGTAAATTCGACTTTGCTATTTGCCTAGGACACTTTTTCTAGATGATAGGTTAAATAAGGTAAAAAAAACAAAAACAGTAAGGGCATAGAAAAAAAATTGTAATAAAAAGAAATGAGAGAGAGTTATTTTGCGACAAAAAAATATTTTTTAAAAATAAAACATGATTATGACAAACAATATCGTATTAAAATAAACGATCATTAGATGACATCGAACGGTCTAGTCTAAAGTACCTATATAGGTATACGATATTTGTTTCTTAATGTGAACTTCGGTTTTTTTCAACTGCTGCAACCAGTGCCGAACCTTTTGATGAACCATCTTCGCTTAATACAAGACGATACTAAAATTAAATGAAATCAAACGGATATTCTTTTCATTTCTAGTATAATAAATAAATAATAGATTTATATAAGCTTTCATTTTTAGTTGATAGGTATAACAGAATTCGGAGTTCTTCAACCATAGTTCCTAATTTTCAAACGTTTCTTCTCTTATACTTCTCTAATACTATTCAGCACATGTTTAAAAAAATCTATGATCGAAAATCGAGACTTGCAAATTAACAGTTCTTCTACCAAGATCGATACAGGAATATAATTTTTGATAGACAAAATTAGATTTTTCGATCTCAATTCGATCTGTTCGCACTAATTTGATTTTATTAATACTCACAGTTCGTTGTACAAGACGATCAATAGTACGGATTAAATTCTTTTTAAATTTATCATGATGACGAAATAATGTACCATCGACCGCGATTGTTACAGATGAAACATTCAAACGATTTATGAGAACAGCTATAGCTAAAAATAAATACAAACATCTTACATGTAGCAATGAATGAATGTAGAGAGCCAGGAGACAACCTACCAGCAGCTGCTAATGAACTAGCACGTTGTGACACTGTTTTACAAACTTCTTGTATTATCTTGCAATCATCAAAGGATGGCTCATGAATACCAATACCAGTTAAGATAGACGATGTCAATGACAAGCCTTCAGCTAAAAAAGACATTGGGATGACATAGATTTAAGAAAGGATTCGACTAGAAGGAAGATCATTCTGTTTTTGCGACTGTCGTTGTCAACGTAACAAGTCAGACTTTTCAGGTTCGAACAGCCTGATACCTCTCTATCAGTGTCGCAGATGGTCATCGCTCCACTAGTCATTACTTTAACATGATGTTCTTTCTCTCATTTGTCGGTGCTTCCCATACATACTTATTGCTCATGTACTAGATTTCTTACAAGCGAGAGAAGCTATGTAGTAAGATACAATGTAATGGGTATGCTATTGGACAAGTGATCTGAGGCATAAGAACAAAAGCAACTTTCTCAAATAGTGCGTGGCTTTCTGGTGCCGAACATGGATTTTTGAAGGATGTCACGAGAACAACGAAGCAGCATGATTTAATGATTCTGGTCTTTGTTTAATGCAAGAAAGAATCATGATCATCGAGAAAGATGGGGTGAGTTTTGTGCATTTCTGCGCATCTCTCTTATCTATTTATCATCTCACTCCTTACGTCTTCTCGAAATTGAATACCATCGATATTTACTTACATTTATCACTTTCAATATCTGACACATGTTTTGCATAAAATGAGCCTAAAGAAAAGGAAAAAGTGTATTATCTAGTTCAATCGAAAATTTTTATCTCACCTCTTAATATTAAAAATATGTTATAATCAGGTCTAATTCTTGGACTTTTTTGCATTCGTCCCGGAAATAGTAAACCTCGTTGTACCAAATCAACAATAATTAAACGCACAATTTCACCCAAATATAGAGCACTGATCATTTTTTCAAATTTTTGTTGCGCAGGATTTAATGATGAATCGTCCAATTCTCTATCAATTTCTGTACGAATAAAATCGAGAGAACCAGATGCTCCAAATGCTCCCCATTCGGTGTTAATGATAACTTCTTTCAAGTTTTGACGATCACCTTGCCATTTCTGAACATTCGATAAATTTTCAACATAACATGCATTTGTACCTATAAAAAACTCAAAAAAAACGTAGATTTACTAATGATATTTATTACTCTCCTCTCACCAGTTCCGAGAATAACACCGGCACGACAATCTCGATATGTTGCATGACAGGCCATTAAAGTACCAACGGTATCATTGACCAATGCTACAACTTCGACGTTCAAACCCTAAAACATAATGTGATGATTCTTCCTATTAAATAATACCCATAAAATTACTTTTCGTCTATCGATTGCTTCCTGAAACATAACCACAACATCTTTTCCCACAACACCCGTACAACTAAAACCTTTTGTCCAATTGACTAATGTTGCTTGCTTCAAACTATCTTGTTGACAGGGAAACGAAAAGGTGAAGGCTAAAAATACAAATAAAATAATAACTAATTATCATTTTTCTACCGTTCGACTACTTACCTAACGGGAATTTTGCATTTTCAAAACTGACCAATTTATTATCGATCATAAAACGTTGAAGACAATCGGCAATATAATCAAATAATTTATCTCCATAACCCAATAAAAGAGAATGGGGAATTAAAAATATTTTATTAATCAAACGAATCTTCTTTCGTGTTTCAATATTCACATGTGATACCTAAAAATAATATTACAAGCATATATTTGTCATCTAACATCGAATAAACAAACATACTCGAAAATTAGAACCACCCAAATCAACTACCAAATATTCTCCATGTTCTTGTCCACTTGGTAATGAATGAACATATGTTGGAAACATTTTTAAATCACTATCTGTTGATGGTTTTAAACCTTTACTCATTTCCGTATTTAAATTTGCCATTACTTTACGAATTTGTTCATCGGATAATCGAAATGGACGTAATATTGTTTTTACCTTGAAAAAACAACAGCAATCTAAATATCACCTGATATTTAACAAGTAAATGAAAGAAAAGTATACCTCATCTTTCAAGATCGTTCGTTGTTCATATTTCCAACGTTGTTTAATATAATAAACAGATAAACCAATGGCAGCAAGTGCAGCACTTGTAATACCGATGATTTTCAATGATTTAATCAAATCAATTTTAAATTCTACTGTATAATTCGATGGAGTTACATCAGTTAAGACCAAATTCAATTCAGGTGAATTGGTCAAGGGCGGCGGAGTAGGAGCCATCTAAAAACACTATCAAATAATCTGTACCATTTTAAAGGACGAATTTAACTAGTGAAAAGCGACTACATCTATCTCGAACATGTCACAAGATTTTCTTTTTATGTTCAACAACTTCTAGTGCATGTTTGAGATGAGTCAACTCATATACAGTGAGTACTAGACAAATCAAAATCAAATATTGTCATGATGATGAGTGATCTTTATTTTTAAAATATGATAAAGAAAAATTTCAGATAAACAGTGGTCTGAACAAGCAAAATGTAAAGAATCGGCACGCATAATTGTTTGAGATTCGAAGCAGTGTTCATGATTTACATATATAATAACTCAACGTCATTCAAAACAAAATATGAAAAGCAATGATTCTATCGGACATAATATTATTTTATCCGGCTTTAAAAAAGGAATAAATATTGAACAATATTAAAAATAAAATAAGGAAAAAATAACAATCCAGTGAAACAATAGTAAACTTATTTTGCATTAGAAATATATCCCGAACTGTAAATAGTTTGGAAACGGTTAGAGATTTTTATTTTTTATATTTTAAGCATAAAATAGTTTATCACAGCAAACAGAACAGGCCTATAAATGAAACTCCATTACATACTAAAGTTGTAGCATTCAATGTGCGTATTACTGAACGCAATGATCAGAGAATGTCATAGGACATATTTTTCTTTTCCCACAGAAGCGTTTTCTTTAGGTCTAATATACACGTCTTCGTTTATTTTTCATCCTAGGACAATTTTCCCCAAAATTGAATTTCATACTAGCTCTGCAAGAAAGTTTTCAATGCATTTGATATATAATTATCTTAAACTATTGTCATAAATAAAAGAGAGTGAAAAGAACGTAAATCGAGAATATTTTACAATAAAAAAAAATTGATAGAACAACTTTAATGGTTACTTTGTACTATTTGGTATTGGACAATGAACAACATGAAACTACTTCACTTTAAACTTCTTCCATTTGTACACCAAACGCTTCATCATTATGAATTTGATGGAATAATGCGTGGAGAATGATTACAAATACCGATGCACCTAAATGATACAGAATATTGATCGAAAATACATACATCAAAATACTCTCGTTTAGCCTCCCTACAAAAGACTTGTACATATCTTTTATTTTCATTACTCTATTGGCAATATTGAAAATAATACGTTAATATTAAAAATTGCTTATTTAAACTGTAATGAACATACCTAAAATCCAGAATATCGCGCTACCAGCACCCACCATAATCAATAGTGGAATACATAAACAGGCGACAGCTAAATATTGCTGTGCCACAGGGATTTGACGTCCTAAAAAAGGCAGATATAAAAAGAATCTAGCGAAGAAATAAACATCCTTTTCCTACCAAGAACAGACAGTTGTCGTTCTCGATTTTTTAAATCGACAAGGTAAAAACCGGCGGCCATTGCTAATAAGACAAATAAGAGAGTCGGTGTTGTTATTCTAAACAAAGAGATAATACAATGTGAGAAAGTAAAATAAGAATTTTTTCTCATTACGCACACACAATAAATTGATAATATGATAAAGACAACAAAATAATTCGTTTGAAAATATTCAATGTTCGCTAGAACACGACGAGCACCAGCTCGAACATTCGATGGTGGTTTAAATTGATTTGCATTAAAAAATTCAAGCCATGGCTTCATTGATTGCCGTTGTTTTGCATACAATTCTTGAACATTTAATTTTTGTATATTTGATAATGACCATGTGCTATTGAACAGAATACAAACGAAAAAAATAAAAGGGATAAGCGTATCAACTCTTACTATACTTTATGTTCAAATGCAAACAAAATTTCCACTTATGCCTACCTGTCCGGATTAGGAGTATCAGCGACGCTGACTGTTGTCGGTGGTCGAGACTGCATTTCCCCATTCACTTTAGGCATCTCAGACATACTAAAAACGTGTAAAAATATCTTAAACAATCGACCATTGAAAGAGTAAAAATTCTGTTTTCTTTTACATTTTTGTCGAATTCTTTCACAAAGTCGAACGATATCTGAATACTTTAATAAATACTCTTCTAGTACTTAATATCTAAATTAAGTTCGCAGTATTTACACATGTCTTATGAAAATGGTAGTACTATTTCACTATCCTTATAATCATCTATCAGACCGTCACATCGACAAAGTATTTAGAAAATATAGTTCCAGCAAGTGTTAAAGTAGAGGACACACATCCTGGTGAAAGAATACAATCGTAAAAATCAATATGTATGTTATCACAAACATAGAAATTAAACAAGACATATAGTTTGCTCCGTTCAGTACCATTTTTTCTCAAAAATAGATTTTTGTAGAGAACGAGCATCTCAGCCAGTGAATCGTTCGCTAAGCACGCAGTTTCAGTAACAAGATCAAAATTACGAAGAAGTGCTTGCATTTTTTTCATGTAAAATTCAACTTTACAACTGTTCAGTACGTGAAAACACTAGTGGATAATCGGATTTTGTCCGGAAGATTCAGACAAATAATGAATAATTCAATATTCATCATTCAAAACTTTCATGCATTGAATTCGCATAGCTAGAAAAAAGAACAAAAATACATAAAATAAGAACATATTTTTATTAAACACCACACATGCCATTTAAAGCATTACTCTTGCTCTTGTATACGTCATATATACGTCAAGATAAATGACCGACAAATAACATTTGTAAGAAGCCAATGCTACCTCATAGCATAGCAAGGTAAAAGAATGGATACTGTTTGTTTGTTTCACTTCCAATCAGAATTGATGGGTAAATAAAACATCTTTGTGGTGGTTGAAAATCTGGAAATGCTGAAGAGTGTTTAACGCGCATTTATATTTCTTGATCTATAGTTGATCTTCCGTAAAATCTCTTCATCATGATGAATAGAAGAGAGAAACAAAGTTAAGGAAACTTTTCCAGTAGTCCAAGAATAGATGTCGCCAGAAATCAGACAGTTTTGATAATAAAAAGGTCGTCTATGGATAATAAAACTTGCCGAATATAGATAGTCCTTCATAACGAATCGCTAAGAATTTCTTCCAGCCCTCTTGGGATCTTCAGAGGATCAGAGGAAAACTTTTAAGCTTTACATGACGTTGTGCACTTTTCCCGTAGAATCAAAGAAGTTTACAAGATTTCTCATCTATCCTGACTGCGAACGCCGATCGGAGGGAGAAGTCTCTTTAATTTAGTCTTGAATTTAAAAATATTTTTAGGCCGCTGGAGAACTTTGGAGGATCTCGAGAAAACTTTTTAGATTTATAGTAGATTACGAAACCTTACATATCAAATCAGAGAAAAATTCATAACATATGCACCCACGCTCATTCATAACAAATTCTTTCCACGCTCGAAAATTTTTGTTTATTATGCCACACAATCATTCCCATCTTATGCAAATTTCTCACGGAATTTTTCACACAGTTTCCATACCATTCTGGATCCGTTTCTCACAGAATGTGCGTTACCACAGTACTTTCCGCACTTTATTTTTTACAGTGGACAAAAAACAAGCAAATGCCTTGCATTTATGTCATTTGTTAACTTTTTTTTTGGAAAAATCAAAAGTGAGAAAATCGTACATTATTTTATTGTTTGTTTCTGGTGAGAACTTTATTATTTATCCGTATGCTATATTGTTTAACCATTTCTTCTTCCTTTTTTTATTCAGCTGCTGCTAACTGGAGCTGTAGTTTCATTTAGAAGCTTTATTTTTGCATCTGTGAGATTTTTTAAGGTAGAAACAAGTTTCTCTCCATCAATTTTTGATTTGAGAGGTATAAATGAATTTGGCACAACAGAAATTTGTTGTGCAATAATATTCGAAGCTTTTGTATCATTAGTATATGAAGCTTTGGATTTTTAAGCACGTTTGTGAGTGAGAATACCAATATAAACGATATTATTAAACAGAATACAATGAATAGTAAATTCGACACAAAAAATTATGTTATGCACACGAATTGGTATACGTACTTTACTTATATTTCGCTAGTATCAAAACTTTTGGTATAATACGCTACTCACATTTCACTGGTACCAAAACTCTTAATATAACACGTCACTCACATTTCAATGCAGACAATGGTACAACTGAAATTTTATAATATGTAAATAGAATATGATGGTACGGATGCGCATAAAGAATTCAGATTATATGTCTTCTACGAATGGGAATTCTTCTGCTCAAGAACTTTATACATCCTTCAATTCAATTCAATTTTATTTTAGTCCATGATGTTAATAAAATGGCAGGGTAATGACAAAAGTTCAACAAAGAACTTGTCTAGATCCAGAATGCCCAAATCTCCTGATTTGACCAGGAGACTCCTGTTTTTTTGACTTTTCTCCTGATGAAAATTCTCCTGATTTCAGGAGCTGATTTTTAAGATTTTCTCCTGGTTTCTTTCGTTGTAAGAGAGACCTTCTCATTACTTGCTTGGTAGAAAAAAGTCACAAACGTTTGAGGGAACGAAAATTTTCCTTGTCCAAGAAAAAACCACGTGATAGTCTGCTGTTTTTCTCCTGATTTCGAAAAAAATCTCCTGATCTTCCTTCTGATTTTTTACGAAAAACTCCTGATTTCGAAAAATTGGATTTAGATCATTCCTAGTAAGAAAAAAAGAGAGATAGAAAAACAAAAAAAGTTTGAACAATAGAAAAAATGGCACAGTAAATAGAATATGGCTTAGTATGTACTATTAACTACTCTAAGACACAAGATGTTTCTTTAATGCACGTTTAAAAGCTCGAGCACTAAAGGTAGCAATCACTTCTCTTGGTAATTGATTCCAGTCTTTTATAGTTTTTGGTAAAAAGAAGATCTAGTAGTTTGCTTACTGAAGATATCTTTTATTTTGTTTATTTTCCGTTCCGTTGCACGTGTATCTTCTTGTTCAACTAAAATCTATAAACCAATGTTTTTAACAAGAACAAAGGCCAGGACAGGAGATATAATCAATTAGTCAACAAGAGCAACGAGAAACGGTTGAACTGAAATTCAATGGATGAATTTTTCAAATTCAGACTGAAAATATTTCAGCTTTTATTTCTAAAAGAGAATTTAGAAATTTAGAAACCTTATTATACTGATCAGAGCTGTATGGAAAATCACTTAGTTTTTTCAAACCAGTTCTATTTCTAACGGGGTATAGGTCTAAACTGAGAAATTTCTTCACTACCAGACAGGTACAGGCCAAAGAGTCTAGATTCAGAATCTTTATCGTTTCTATTTACAGTTTTGTTAGAAACATAATTTTTATGTCATGCACCTGTGTTTTCAGGCTACGTTTTGCCTATTCATTTTTTCATGATTCTTAGCACCTGGAACAAAAAATTTGATGCCATTAAATTATTTGCAGGTTAATAAATCGATTATTCATAAAAGCACTAGTAGTATTTCTGACACTTGGAGAAAGTCTCCAATCAAGAAAATAGTGACAGTTGCTAAGGTATTAATTCTGGAAATTTCTTCTGACTGAACTTTAAGCAAACTTTTAAATTTGTACAGACGCTTTCTCATGTAAAGCAATTCCTGTGCACACGAGCAATGCAAACAAGAGGAATCGAAACAAACGATGTTGAATATTTTTCAACATCGGAGGGATCAGAAGTTGAAGAGAAATATTCTCAACAACGCTGTCATACGAGTGTTGGATCCGGATACCGCCGAGATTTGCCAACTATACGAAAAACATAAAATGAAATATGTGACAAAATCTGTGAGTACTAATAAAGTGAATGAAGGTGCCAATGATGAGACCAAGAAATCGTAAGATTTAGAATGGAAAGTATCAATAGAATAATAGAAGTAATTAAGATGAATATATTAAAAGAACGAACGATTTTGATTGGTAATTTAAGTAAAGGTGGTCCATCTCGGTCTGTTACCTGCATGTTATCGAGTTCACAAACCGCAATGAGTATCATGCATTGGGTAAGTTGTTTTAAAGAACAATAGAAAACTGTTAATGGACATTGGTTACCCTTCCCACCGTCACCGATTATACATTCCGATCGAACATTAGTATTCTTGTTAGCTCGCCTACAAGTTTTCAATAAACATGAAACAATGGAAGAATATATTGAAAGATGTTAGAGAATCGTGCAGAAAATAGCGACACAAGACGATTTGAGCAAGACCGTTGTTCGTTCTTGCCTAGGACATTCGATGAAAAACGTTGAAAAACATGCAACGAACGAACTAAAAAATACAGGTAATATTAGATTTATCTGTACAACGAATATAAGATACTGACAATTCAAAATTTGAGTAGAACTTTTTCCCTTTTTTCCCATTGTTGGATAGAGATCACCGACCCACCTAAAAACAAATAAATTTTAGCTTTTACAAAATGATTGAAATATTGAACTTTTTGAAATTGAGCAAAAAACAAATTTTTAAAATTAAGCAAAATTTTTGGCTAAATTTTTTTCGAAATTTCGAAATTATTTCATTCTGATCCGATCCAGTATGCAAAACTGCTTACATAAAATTAAAGTAAACATTTTTAAAATCTAAAATAAATGATTTAGAATAGATAAAAATTGGTATTAACGCTCCTTAAACAGCAGTCAATAAAGATATGTATTAGATTTTTAGCTTTTTCACTCACTCTCATTATCCACCTGCCCTCCTCCCTCTTCGATGAGCGAGATGCCCGTCAAAATGCGAATATACAATCAAAATCTTATGAGTCAAAGTATAGTTTGAGGAACGCTCAAACGTCCGGTCGGTCATATGTCAGATGACGTCCTTGTTGACACTCCCAGCAAATTTTTTTTCAATAGTTTCTAAGTGCCACTTCCAAGCAATCGCTGAAAGTAGCAATAGCACTTTATTGCCACTTCTAAGAAATGCCAATAGCTCCTAGTTAATACTCTCGAGAGTACAAATAGATTCGCCATTTAGGTTTT